ATCCGATAGATTAATTTTCTTTCCCAAAAATTAATCACTCCTAAAAAATATAACCCCTTCAATTCAGACTACAATGACTAATTGATCTGCATAGCCCAGTATTTCATATCCATTATAGCCCAGAAGAGGAGATGATTCATCTATCATGAGGTTCTTTCTTAGCAATGGAGACAAAACTCTTACTGGGGAATGGTTGTGTAAACCAATAATCTTATGTGCATGCAATGAATCCAACTGCAGCTCATGTCATCAATTCCTCTTTTTTTGTCGTCTGCAAGGAATTTTGGCAACAATAAAATCCAACGATTCCTTCATACTTCAGTGACCGAGAGTTTCTTCAAAATGAATTATAGTACTTTGCGGTGCATGATGAACTAAAAAAAACTGAGACTCAAGTGCTAGAAGTTTATTAGCCGTAGTCCGCAGGTTTTCATACATGACGTTTTGTGTGCTACTACGACAGAAATAATCAGAGGCTATATAGCAACAATAGAAGTGATCCACATTGCTGAAGTGGTAATTCAAATACATATACTGCACGTTTCTATAAAAAAAATATTCAATACCAGCCTCAAAGTATTATACTTCATAGCAACACTAATTTCAAAGAAGAAAGAATATCATACACTCAATCTGCTTTTATTTAATAATGACAAATGAGTGATTCATTTTCATATGATAATTTTTTAGTATTTCAGTGATCAGAGTTTCGCTAGATCCATCATCGAAACAGCTAGATTACACTCAAGAGTGGGCGATGTATTCTTTTATCAATTCGCATATCATGGAGTTCTGGGGGGACAAACTGACAAATCAGGTACGTGTGCGAAACTCAAATTGAAAATGAGATGCATTATAAGAATCAAACGAATATGCATTCGTGGATAATGATTCGAATCTTTCATATATTCACTTTAGACGTCAATCACTTGTATCAGTATATACCAAAGAAACGGTTCTTGATTGAAGACGATTTGTTGAAACATTTAGTTTCGTAAATAAGATAGAACTGACCGATACCTGATGAAAATTAATTATAACGTATTCAAAAACACACTTTAATGTGATATTTCCAGATGAAAGTTTACAAAACCGCGACACGTGTTTCGGGCGTGTTGCCCGAAGATGCTATTGCATAGCAGAACAGGTGTTGCGGTTTTGTAAACTTCAAAGGGAAAATCTCACAATGAAGCATGTTTTCTCGAATACGACCTAGTTTCGTGCTAACTATCACTATGCGAAGTAATCTCCTGTCTCTTGAATAGCAATACTTTCATTATGAAAGTCAACGTCCTCTATCGTATAATATATTTTGTGAACGATTACACATTCAAACGGCTGGAAGGGTTATATAGAGAGATGTTTTCGACTATTTGTTTGAAGTTGGTTGACAATGTTTCGTGGTGCTTTTCATTAATCCTTCTGTAAATATCGATTATTGTTGAGAAATTAATTGAATTAGGTTATTGCTCTTCTGTGTTACTATATAATATATCCACTATTGATTATTTAAGACTTCGTGGTATTCTAAAAATAGCATATCACTTTCTTTTGAAAAAATAATTCTTGCTTCAATTATTTTTCATAGTGGAAGGATTTTCTGAAGATGTGAGACATGGCGAAGAAATAAGTTATCTATTCCGACGTAATTATGGGGGCTTGAATACTACCGATTTAACCAAATATCCAGAGATGGACCAAATCGTCCAGAAGAGAATGATTAAGATGTTCACTGACTTTGCAAAATATTCGTAAGTGCTATTGAGTATATTTCTGAAGACTCATTTTTGAATAATTTTTATGATGGAAAAATATTTGTGAATCATTAAAACAACAATACTTAATAACTGTTCCATGACTGAATGATCATTTCAAAAATGATTTTCATAGTGACCTTTGACAATTTTTTTTATTTTCTCATGTAGGTACATGAAGCTAAATTTGAAAAATAATGTTCAACAAATCACGTCGTTTCTGTTTCAGAACTCCTACCCCAGAACCAATCGATCTTTTACAACATCTCACTTGGCCAAACCGTAAGATTCCAGACGGTGAACTCTACGTAAAAGTAGCAACCTTATTTAGATAGGATCATATCGTTTTTCCTGTAGAACAGCAAATAACGAACTCTCGTTCCCTGGGGTCTCAATACGTCTTCTTTTTGCACGGTTTTGACCGAAGAATCGTTTTCCTAATCCAGCAATTGTAGCCGACGTGGAAGGCATCGATCACGTACTGTCCAATGTTGGCATTTTTGCCTTCGTGGTAAACAACGGCGAATAGCTTGTATTGTCTCTCTATTGGAGACTGTTTTTCCGACGATATCAAAGTCGAATTCTAAATCGAAAGCCTTGATAATCTTCGTGCAACGGTCGTTGCTGTATTTGAAAAACTTCAAGGATAACAAGTTTGCAGAGCGTAATTTGCTACCAAGCTTCGACTTTCTCGACCTTAAGCGCTTCTCTGACGGTCTTCACTTTCTCAATGTTGAGTGGCAGGGTGAGGAAAGGCTGAGTATTCTCGGTGATGTGGTCCACGTTGCAATGAATGCTCGACGTTAGTTGCCCCCCCGAAGATGTCACTTATCGGTGTATTGATGAAGTCTATCCTTCTGGTTGGATGTCCTTTATTTTTCGATTCTATTATGTTCCATACATTATTTGAATCATTACTCAAAGCAGAGTCAACGAGAGGTTTTTCATCTTTATTATAATATTCAATCAACCCATTCAGCTCGAACATTTCATCATTGAGTCCATTCAAAAGAAAACCTAGAAACTCTTGTGCATCTTGTTGTCTACCATCGATCCAGTCAGTCCGCATGTTATGCAACATTTTATAAATCCACGTCGGACCAATAATTGCTACTTCCTACATATTCACGAAGTAAGGCTCAAATCATTCATATAGAAGGGAAAAAAATTATGGAATAAAGTAATTTTTCAAGAATATGTGACTTCGGAGACAAATCCCAAACAGGTCTTTTTTTGTTTCCGAATGATATATGGCCCATTTATTACACCAGTGACGTTATCCAACGCGGCGTGATGACGTAATCGATTATTTTTTCAAATGAAAATATGGGTCGTGTGACAGCTTATTCTGAAAGTAATTTCAGTTTTCCACTCAGTGATGAAAACATCAACATATTCATTAATACAGGGTGGCCAAAAATTCACTACTTTGGGATAAAATTAATTGACACAACAAAAATTAGGTATGTATGTAATTCATTCAATACAAAACACATTTTACTATTGTCAGATATCACACAAAAATGTGTATTTCACAATAAAACATTGTTTATTGCCTTAATCAAATATTCAAATTGCCACCCACCTTTTCCTTCTTGTAATTGAATCATTAACACAATTTTTCTTGAGAATTGTGAATCATTTCTGAAGTTATATCACGAATTTTAAATATAATTCTGCTTTCTCAATCTTGTGAATTGTTTGCTTTGCCAGCGATCTGGAACATCCTCATCCATTGGCCACCCACCTGCATCTTGCCTCTTGTAATTGAATCATAAACGACATAAACAACAGGGTAAGAAAATGTCTACACAGTAAAAAGTATTTCTTTGAAAGAAGATCATAGGTTGCTTTGAAATTTTCATCTCTATTGGTAAAACTATTACTTTATGCCAACATCGCCATGTTCCAAACACAATTTTTCTTGAGAATTGTGAATCATTTCTGAAGTTATATCACGAATTTTAAATATAATTCTGCTTTCTCAATCTTGTGAATTGTTTGCTTTGCCAGCGATCTGGAACATCCTCATCCATTGGCCACCCACCTGCCTCTTGCCTCTTGTAATTGAACCATAAACGACATAAACGACAGGGTAAGAAAATGTCTATAAAGGACGAAACTGCAGTAACGATAGTTACGAACAAAAGTGGTAAAAACCATAGAAAGTTTCATTTCCCATTTTTCATGATGATCTCCTACTACGTAGTATAACGGCTACATTAATCAATACATTGATATGGTTGAAGATCTCAGTGTAGCGCACAAGCATTCATCGTGGATTCACAACAATTTGCATGACGCCCTTTAAAATCTTCATTATCCGCTCCCACTATACACTCAAGCAGTGGCGTAACTATACCGTTCGAGGGCCGTGGCAAATTCATCGGATGGGCACCCACCCCCAATATAAAGAAGCTGAGTCAACAATAATAATATTTTTTATTTTATAATACTCATTTATACACTTCAACTTGTAATTGTACAATAATAAATCACTACATCAAGTAGGCACATACAAACTTTATAATTATAATTAGGTACTTGATTTTCTAATAATTCACTTCAAATAAAAAATATACCCAATTCAAAGTACAGTCAGCATCTAATGGAGTAGGCAAAATTATTTGAAAAACAAAAAAGCAATTTGATATACGCAGTCCGAATCATCTTATTGTTGTTAGCACACAAGGAGTTCAAAATGTAAAATGTTAATTATTGAAATTCCTTCCCTGGGACTTCCTGTTCAGCAAAAGTGGTAATAACATCATCAAAGTTCAAGTTTCGGGGCATAGAATTTTCGATGGATAGAATAGTTAAGTTGCTTGACCTATCTTGTCCCATAGAATTTCTTAAATAAGTTTTAATCAATTTCAGTTTTGAGAATGATCGCTCGGCACTAGCCGCAGTAACAGGATTGGTGAGAATTAATAGAAATGCAGTGCACACTTCAGGAAAGCTTAAAGATATAGAATGATTTTTTATTATTAATAAGTCAGCAAGTTCTCTTATAGAAGATGAAGTTTCTATTTCGTGTCTAAAAGAGAATCGAAAACTGAGCATTTCCTTGGAAAACGAGATGAATATATCTTCTTTATATAGATGGACAAATGCTAAAGCCTTTTCCAATAAATCAGTATCGTTCAAATTTTGCAAAGTGGCAGGTTGCAAGACACTGAAATTGGAAACAATTTCATTCATTTCAAGGAAACGCGATTTCAGTTGATTAATAAAATGGAAAACCAACAACATAATAACATTGTAGTTTTCTATCTTCTTCACCAAGATAGCTTCATTTCTCTCATCTGTTTTGGAATTTGATGAAATAGTTTTTGTAAGCGTTTTTCGAACATCAAAAAACTGAACTTTTAAAGCAAACATGGCATCAAAGCGTCCTGCCCATCTAGTTGGATTCATTGTTTTTATTGTTACTGAATTTGATGATACCCCGGACTCTCTTTCATTGTCAAATATAAAACTAGATAATATATTACATCGATTAATACTATGACCAAAAAAATTATAAATTTGTTGTACAGTTTCGAATAATGTTTGTATTTTTATTACCTCTTTTACTGCATCATTTACCACCAAATTTTAATTTTAAGTAGCACAATGGACATAAACCGCATTTGGCTCTATCTCTTATGAGTTTTTGAACTCCGCCGTAAGTGCCTTTCATGGTATTAGCTCCATCGTACCCTTGTCCACGGCATTTAAAGCGGAAATTTCCCGAACATCCGCAGTAATACTCGTACCAACACGCGTGGCGAGCATTTTATTATCTAACGGATACGTTTTGAAACTGGGTTACAATTTTTTAAACAAAATACTTTGAATTTTTAATACATTTTTTTAATTGTGTATGCAACTGAGTAGGTAACAAAATTGAATCAAAGACAAAAATTTTTTTTAAAAAATATGTATAATAAATAATAAATGTTGGGAGTTGGGGTTCTCCTCTGACCGGGGGCCCCTTCCGGCTGGGGGCCCGTGGCATTTTGCCGATATGCCACTTTGTAGTTACGCCACTGCACTCAAGCAGGCGGCTGTGGAAGAATTGAAAATCCATTTGATCTTCAGCACTGAAGAAATTTCAGAATTACAATAACCAATACCAAATTCAACAAAAGATGTGCCGTTATCTGGATATATTATTGAAAATCTCTCTCTGTGAGCAATAAATATTCCTTTCTTCCGAGGGAAAAAAACACAAGCACTACAGGAAAATCCTTAAGGCGCTCTTAAAGCGCTGCCTGTGCTAAAGTAGTTGTCTAGATATGACTTGAATTGCTGGAGATTAAATCCATTTGGAAAAACGTTCTTAGCAAATTCCACAAAAACGCCGTTCTCCAAATAAAAAAGTTCTCAAACAGCGGAGTTTGAGGTGTACTGAGTTGAACCTCAAAACGATGAGCAGCCATAATCCGTCGCGTATTTCTGATATGTACCGCTCTTGGTGGAATCAACACATGAACACTTCCCGTGAAAGTATCTATAGAAGAGATCCAAATCTTCAACCTTTCTTCGATGTTCCAGACTATTAAAGTTGCAAGTGATGTTCGTGTCTCCAATCAGGCAGATGGCTCTTTTCTGGATGGAATCCAGCAGCTTCAGGGTATGTTTGGGGGCGAAGCTTCATACATGAGAACAACATTCCGAAGAAGGTTTGATCTGAGCTTTATAAAGCATCAAAAGTTGCTGAGGTGGGTATACTTTTCTCCAAATGTAATGACGAGATTAGTGTGCTGTCGTCAGCAAAGCTATATATTGGATCCTCGGTTTTTTTTCAATAAGTCATTGATATACAATAAAAAAAGGATGGAGACAATATGGATCCCTGGGGAACATCAGCGTGAAAGTATTCGAGAGATATCTATCGACGGCCACTTGCAGGGAACGTTCTTTCAGGAAGCTGAAGAGCCATACACAAAAATGATTCGACAAGCCATAGCATCGAAGTTTGACCAGCAAATTCTAATGCCACACACGGTCAAAGGCCTTAGAAATATCAAGCGCAAGAGCTGTTGACTCTCCATGTTTCCCGATTGCGTTATTTCAAATATGGGTGACATAGATAGAACGTCGCCTGTTGATCTTTGTTTCCGAAAGCCATATTCATGATCGCTCAAGCTGTTGAAGCCTTTCTAATATTTGAGAATATGGTGATTTACGGCTTTCTCCATGATTTTTTATTTCACTGATAGCGAAGCGACCGGTTTCAAGTTTACTGGCCCTTTTTGGAAATAGGTTGAACGAGAAAAATATTCCAATAAGAGGAAAAAACCCCTTTCTTGTAAGACAGGTTGAAAAGTCTGCAAAATACCGGTGCGAGTTCATTTGCGCACTTTTCAAGTACAATGACGATCAATTCAAAGGACCAGACGCCTTGTTGATATCGAGCTGTTTCAAAATTCGCTTGACTAGACGCTATCAGAAAGTATTTTCCGGCAATTTGGATTCTAGTGGGAATAGTGGGTGGTGTCTTTCCCAGAAAATCGACTGTGGCGTGTAAGCATAAGTACATCCGATGACATTAACGACACCAGTCTTGTACGCAGTACAAGTAAAGATCAATCATATTTTTCCTGCACCTCTAAGAAATAGAGGCCCAGCATGATCGACCCCCATTATTTCAAAAGGTATAAAGTTTGCTAACAAAAGGACTTTCGAAAGTTTTCTGAATTTTTGTTTAGAAAACATTCATTTCGATAGCTTTTATTACCTTCTAAATCCTGAACCTTTTCTTTAATAACCCATGGAGGGTAAATACTCTAGCATGATGTGATAAGATATGTTGGTGATATAATGAGAACTTTGTACAACTGTATTATAGGATAAAAATCACTAGGATGAAAGGGGGTAGTCATCAGGGTATTCTGTTGATTGGGCTCTTATCATTTCTGATAGGATGACGTGGAACCTTTCTACTGATCTGTTAGATCGGAAATGAATAACGTTGAATCATGCTAATTTCATGTCATGAGTAGAAATGTATTTCAGTATATCGTTATCAAATTTTCGACCGTAATCGCAATGAGTTCTTAATGGGGTACTAAAAATCTTTTCAGTCACCTCGAAGAGGTAGTTGATATGGATCATTACACTTTACTGAAGTCAGTGCGTACTGAAATTGAAATTGAAATAATATATTTATTCGGTTTCATGTATACAATAAAATTAATAAGTGTCATACGGTGGTTCACCATATTTTCCGTATATCTTCTTATCATAGAATTTCATGTTTTCATCAAAAGGGTTCATCTGAATCCTCAACTCTTCACCTATATTCAAGTAGGTCAGATTGTTGGGAGCTACTGAAGACCAAATTACATTTTGAAGAGTCGGATCATTTTGAGGAGTTGGATTACTGAAAACAAATATGCGTTAAAATATAAAAAATTCTGATTATGAACTTTTGGTTTTTACTGAGTTGGGATCTATTAGTTCAGAGATTCAATAGAACACTCATTCCTTCATTTCACTACATGACACTTTTGAGTTACATTGAAATCATCACTAAGTACTCATCACTGTTTAAAAATCAAGTTTCTTTGGATGTAGGAGATAATGTTTCTAGGTGCATTTCAGAGATTTAGACTTTCATTATCTGAAAAAGTATCAACAGTTTCGGAATGTAAAAGAAAATAATCCAACGAGATATGGAAAAACCTAGTAATGATGGAAAATGAACAATGAATATTAAATGTAAAAGTATGAGCACAATAATTTGTCAAAGAAAATAATATAGAAACGTATAAAAATTATGAAACAACAAAAACTAATTATTATTATTATTACTATGATTGAAAAAACATAGGTGCGATGATTTGCAAAGAAGAAGAAAATCTGATTTGAAATTGATATCAATTACCTAATGGGTTGAAAAATTAATGAAATGTCAGTGATTATCATTCTGAATGAAGAGTAATTCACCTAATGAAAATTGTGAATTACTCTTCCTAAGTTGATGGTTGGTTTTCGAAAAATGAATTTTCAGAGACTTTATTTCATTCAAAAACTCGTGCAACAACTACGAGGTGTCGAACTGAATTTGAAAATTTTAATGTGAATAAAAAAATGCATGTTAAAGAGTTTCATCCGGTGTCGGATGTCGCTGACCCATCAGGAATGTCGTCGATTTTTTGTGGATTTAAGTTATAACTTTTACATCCCCTGAAGAAATTGCATGAGGGTGAAATGAATGTTGAGTGCTGGTAGCTGGTACTGGTGATATTTCAGAGATTCTCCAATTACCGCTGTAGCAACGATGAATACAGATGTAGTTCAAAAGTCGGTATTATCGACTGTAATATCCTCAAAACTTAGGAGTTGAAGTTGGCTTTGTTCGTGTATTATATGAAGTTGAATGGGTGGCATCTTCTTCTCGGGTGATATTAAAATGGTTTGGATTTTTGGCAAGGCGCGGGGCTTCTCATAAGAGAAGTTCTTGGAATCCATGTAGTTGGCTTCTAGTGTCACAAATACGCATCATGAGAATTCTTCTATGATGTAGGTCGCACGCAATTTCTGCGTTCCAAATATGGAACATTTGATAAATATTGTTTGGCTTTGGCAATATACCAACATATTGGACTGATATGATTTCTTTTATCGAGGTACCATTTATTGATACTGGAACTTATAGACATTTAGCTCCAGCTTCAAAGAATTGTGAAATTTAGAAAATGCAATCTCGTGGCTGAAGGTCGCCTCGAATAATTGGCATTTGCCAAAAGAAAGTCAGGGTTGATCTTATTGCATGATCTCTGCTAATAGTGGTGTAGTCCAGTATTCACTGTCAAATGAGGAGGAGGGAATACATTTGTGGTAAAGTAATTGGTAACGATTGAATATAGGAGGAGAGGAAAGTGCAGAACAGAAATATCATTGCATTGGAGTAATGAGCATCGACATTGGTTAAATCGTGATATTGAATGTCGTTGATACTTCGTGTACCTATTGAATTTCCAATGAAAATTCGAAGTAGATAATCAGATTAATATGTACATATATTTCGTGAAAATGTTCACCTAAAGTCACTTACCCATATTTAGCAAAATTGGTCCATAACTTGATCATTCTGGTTCTCGTTAATTTGTCACTTTCTGTAACGTTTCCAATTTTTCCTCCAAATATATATCCGAGCTCTTCAGAATGACCTACCCCTATAATTGAAATTGAAAAGTTATTTCGTTCATGCAGGTAGTCAATTAGATTTTTTGTTTTTTTTTTTATAGTTTGACATGTATTATACCTACATCATTACATTTTTATCATACGGTAACTCAAAATTGGTCAAACCTACTGCTTTGCATCCAAATGCAATTAATTGTTTGCATATGAGTAAAATAATAATGTCAAACACTGAACATGAAATAATTGACATGCATCTTGCGTATTGGATGAAGATAATGTTTCTAGTGCTCAACGTATACACAAAGATGAATATGCTAGTCATCTAGAATCTTGTGTAACAAATTTTTCGAATATTCATGTACTGCATTGTGGAAAAAACTCATTTGGTAGATATGGCTATCTTTGCAAAGCCAATCGAACGGGGAGTCCATATTTAAATTTTATTTGAGAAATAATTTTGAGGTTTGTCTTTTTTTCTACACAAATATCGGAGTTAATATTCATACCCACGATACTGTTGAAGTTGAAAATTAATTTTCGTCGGAAAATATGAACTTTAATAACTCGTATTTTCGTGACAAAACATTTTTGGAACATAGTTCATATAGCAACCTATCATAATGTTTACAGGTACATTAATATATTATCAAGAAACACCTTGTATTGCCATTTTCACTTCTTTGTATTTGAAGTAGGTGAGAAATATCAATTGATTGATTTTTATTAGCGATTTTTTTATTGGAAAAATCACTACGCCACTGGATTCAGAGTGCCTCTAAATAGGTGTGACCAAAATTTCATGAAAAAATATTCATTATTAACAAAGATATGACAACTCAAAATTTCGAAAACTCACACAGCTAACAGTCACAAAAAACATCCTATATCAACAGATATAGCCATCCTGCATAGAGGTGTGTCCACTAGCCCCATATTATGGAAGTGTTTTCTTGGTTGACAGTGGCCAGTCAGAAATCCTACTGTTACGGGTAGATTTTTCTTGGCTATCGTCAGATATTTCTTTGGCACCAGGATCACCCTGGGCGACCCTGGCAAGATTGCATCCTTTGATTCCATCCCATTTCTTTAGGGATTGAGCAAGAAACATTTGGCTGAATTCGCAATTGTCGAAGTCATCAGGCCATAGGTGCCACTGAGTCCAAAAATTCTTATTCCATCCTCTTCCTTGGGTAAAGAGTCGGCAATGCAATTACCTTCACTCCTGTGGTTCTCTTCAACCCACCTCAGGACAATGTTATTATCCACCAAGGCTTTGGCTAAATCTTGATGGTACTCGACCTGTTCAAGGCTAATAGGGCTTGTCTGCTATCAGTGCAGATTGTTCTGTTTTTACCAGAAATTCCTTTCCTGGTTATTTCTTTTATAGCGATTGAGATACCAGCCAGTTCTGTTTGGACCACGCTGGTATTTTTTCCCATTCTCCACTTAATGCTTAGGCTTAGTGATCTGGAGTACACTCCACATCCCAAGCCTTCTTTGGTTTTGTGCCGTTCGTATATATGCGTATTACATTTGTAGCATCTGACTCTGTGTTCTGTTATATTTGTATTTTGGGTTCAATTGGGTTCAATTGCATAATTGGTTGCCTGCAGCAGAGGTTGCGCAGTAAGCGCTTCTCAACATAGGCTCAGCCCCAATTGACCTATTTCTAATTCGAGATTTACATCAGCTATGCGCAATCGTAACCTGGCCATTAACGAAACTTCCTTAGCGTACAGGTCCAGAGGGGTCAGACCAGAAATTAATTTCATTACCGCGTTTGGTGTTGTTTTCATGGCTCCTGTGATGTTTGAACAAGCCAGTCGCCGTACTTGATATAATTTTTGGAAAGCCGTTGCTTCCATATTTTGAATCTACTCAGTTTAATGAAAGCGACGCGAACGCAATTGACATTTCATTTGAGATAAATAATTGTTTTAAAAGCACACTAAATACTGTCAAGTTGGACACTTTATGATTGCATTTATCAATGTTGTATAGCGATGAAGAATTTTGGTCTGACATCCTTCCAACGAGGGTTATGTTAAGTAATTGTTGTAACGTATTTAGCATCAGCGGAATGTTTCGAGTGATGAATTAACAAACAAAATACAATGCAAAGTACAGTTCACAATAATGAGAGAAAACGAACACCGTTAACAGAGACAAATGAAAAATATATGAAATTCCTTTATATGTATTGTCACTTAGAATGTTTCTCACCTGAGAGTGTCCTTTCTTCTACACCACCCAAACGTCCTTCATGAGAAAATACATAAAAATATACTGGGGAATATTTTGCCATATTCAGTGCTGTTTTGCGGACTGGTCTATTGAACTGATCGTCACTGATATACTGTAATAAGTCAGTAATGGTAAATTCATGTTTTGAAAAACCTAACAAAAAAAAGTTTGACGATGAAGATTAGGAAACTTGAAATCAAAAAAGATATATTTTTAACGGAAATATCAAAATAGATTTATATTATTGCATATTTTCGTAATGAAAGTCAAGGTAGAAAGGTAGAAGTAACAGTTTTAACAATAAAAACAGAAGTAATGTCTATGAAATTTTTCAGTAACTTGTTGGTGGCCTAGCAACATGCTACAGTAAAAAAAGTATGCGTCTCAGGACGCCTGACAAAAGTGATAATTTAAACTAATCTGTTCAAACGTATCAGTGGTAATTTTAATTTCAACTTCCATAAGAATTCCACTGATGGCAATGCAAGTTATCTGCGTAATTTATTTGCCTCTTACGGATTGAATCAATGTATTTTTGATTACACAAGGATACAGGGCAATATGTCGATTACGTCATCACGCCAACACCGGTGACGAAACGTCTTTCATATGAATATCATGAGATGCGCCGTCAAAAATTAAAGTTGACCTGTTTTTGGATTTCTTCCGAAAGACGCTCATTTTGTAAATATCGAATTTATTCCATACATTTGCATCGTACTGTATAGTTTTACCAATCACTGCTCCTACTGTAAAGATAACCAATTATTTTCTTAATAGATCTTTCTGTGATCAAAACATTCGCTTTTTGAATGCTTTATTGGCTCGTGAGGATTGGCTATCTATACATATACTCCAGCAACGGTAATGCTGATGAAAAATTCTCTATTTTTTATGATTCATTTCTCAACCTATTCGATAAAGCCTTTCCTCAGGAATTACATCAAACCAATACACATAAAAAATCTAATAACAATGAACCTTGGATAACTAAGGAGATCGTTAATTAAGGAAAATTACTCAGAGATATTTTCCCCATCAGTAAAATCCGATCTGATGAAATCATCAACCAACAATATAAATTACTTTTGAAACAGCATCGACAAAAGATAGAAACTTTAAAGATGTCTTACTTCGGCCACAAATTTCTTGAAGCCACAAATAAATCTGAGGTTGCCTGGACTATAATCAAACAGAATACTGCATGTGATAAGAAAAGTCAATTCTTGATGAAATAAATTGTCTGTAAACGAGGGTGTTGATATCTCCCAAACATTCAGCGATTACTTCTTGAATTCTGTCCAAACATCAGTCAAAGAAACATCTCCTATTTTAGTAAATAACTATGACATCAACTCCCACTCACTTTTTTCATATCCTCTGGATGAAACAGAACTACTCGAGATTGTGAAGTCGATATCTTCTAAGACTGTCAGTGGCGTGGATGAAGTACCTTGCAACCTCTTGTTCAAGGTGGTTGAAAATTTGATTGAACCCCATTAATATCTCCTTAGTCGAAGGTATATTCCCTACTCGACTCAAACATGCAATAATAGTGCTTATCCATAAGAAAAATGACAAGCACTCGGTTTCCAATTACAGAGGAATTGCGATACTATCTGCATTTTCCAAACTATTCGAGAAAACTTATCAAAGAAGACTCCTCTCTTTCTACAATAAGTATAAAATCATCCCAGACTGTCAATTTGGCTTCCAAATTGGCAAGTCCTCTGAGGATGCCACGATTAATTTAGTCAATGAAGTCATTTCTAGTCTCGATAGAGGTGAAAAAACGATAAGTGTTCTATTCAACTTGTCACGAGCTTTCGACACTGTTGATCACGATTTACTTTTGAGCAAGCTGTTTTGTCTAGGAATTCGTAGCTAATCTATGGATTGGTTGATATCTTATCTGGATTGCAGAACGCAAACTGAGAGGGTTGAACTGGAGGCTGGAACCTTCCACTCTAGAATATGTGTCGTTTCCACCGGTGTTCCCCAGGGTAGCGTCCTAGGACCTATTCTCCTTCTTTTATTCGTACATGACCTCAACAACAGTAATCGTCAACATTGTACAGTGCAATTTGCCCATGATTCTTCGTTCACTCTGAAGTCTTCAGATTATGAGGGATTGTCGAGTCAGGCCAATCAAGCAGTCGCTAATATGCAAAAATATTGTTCTCAAAATGATCTCATTCTGAACAGCTCTAAAACTAATGCAATCGTCTTTTCACTACATGAAAATGATCACAGTGTTCTGTTCAAAATAAATGGAAAGTGAATACAACAAATCTCATCTGTAAAATTTTTAGGTTTGAACATTGATGCTCAACTCTCTTGGAACAAGCACATTGACTATAGTTAGAGTAAAATGTCGAAACTAATAGCTCAAAAAAAGATAGTGAGAACAATGGGTTTCAAAAAATATGATGACTCATGTAGGGAGCTGTTTACTGATTTGGATATTCTAACTATTATTTCACTATATATATTCAACTGTGTTGTTTATGTCAAAACTCATCTCGACAAATTTTATTCAAGAGATAATCTTCGGCTCGCTACAGGATGTACGTTAAGATCTAACTATAATTTTATTGTTTCCCACTATAAATTGACGAAAGCAGCAAACGGCCCTCTAATTATGCCTATCAAGTTATACAACAACCTTCCTTTCTCTCTTAAACAGCTATCAAACCTGCATTCCTTAAAAAAAATGTTAAAAAACTGTTACATGACAATACATTTTATTCCCACAATGAATACTTCCAGGCTGATTTGGAAATATTAATAACTTGATTGCAACTGTTCAGACTGTACTATTTTCAATTGTCATATTTTTCAGTTGGATGTTTTTTCATACTTATGTTTGATATTTTCATATCTTTACTCTTTTATGTGTGTATATCTATATAATTATTTGTATTGTGAATTTCTATATTTTAGTTTAATTGACTTTTTCCATGCTGTAGAGTCTCTGGAAACAAATCAATTTGATTTGATTTTACATAATTTTAAGGATTCTATAATTTTTTGATTTAACATTTTTGACTCTTGGATCTAAGTTGTAATCTCAATATGTTCAATGTTTTCATTTCTTTTTACCTGAAATTGGAAACTTTCACGTTATTAGTATTTGTTTACAATGGGTAAATTTGTAACTAAATCCTCAATAGAAGGCCTTTACTTCTATTACTAACTTTCTCAAGACCGGCTATTTTTTATTTCTGACTATATTATTTGGGTTGAAATACCGGGATTCATAACGTTAACGTGACATTTCTCGGCATTGCTATCTTTTTGAAATTATGGCAACTATTATCTACAATCCTTACTAATTTATCTGTTTGCCGAATTTCGACCTAAGCACCCTTTTTACCAGATGTTCGGGAACTACGTGACTTGACAATAATTCCAGCCCATCCTGATAAATTATCCTCTATCAAAAAGAAATTTGGGAGATAGGGTCAAGTAAAAATAGAATTCAGTCTGCATCCGAGAGTTCTTGTAACAAGACCGTCTTACCAGATACCGTTAACAATACCAATTTCGTCTATTTTTTCACCACACATTTTTTTGTTTTCATACATTGAGGTTTATACTTTAAACTCATAGTATATAAAATATTGATTTGATAATAATTTATCTGGTCAAAAATTATTGGTGAAGTCAAATTACTTTTTTCAAATTGTAAAATTTGGATTGAATCAGTAATTAAAAAACATAATCTGAGTTGAACTATTCAATTATATACTGGGTGATTCAGCCGAGCGTGGCCAACCAAAGTTTTATTTTTTTAATGTAACACCCGGAGTGTGAATACGTCATTCAATTCCCTAGTTTTTCAACTCTCTGAGGAATTTTTATTTTAGAATTTTCATTGCGACAATGCCAAGTTTTTCCAGAAAAACCAATTTTGCAGACAATATTTTTTTATGCAAAACACGCATGTCTACAGCAACTAGGTGGATTTTTTTAAGAATGGTTAGTCAACATCACTGACAATTCCTGAAATCTCAACTTTCGGAAATAATATATAGGATACTTGAGAAAACCAGTCAAGTTTCATTCATTTTCAAACTGACATAATTCAAGTTTTTCAAATGGAACACCCTGTATTTTTTCATATTTAGAATTTTCATTGCGACATTGCCAAGTTTTTCCAGAAAAACCAATTTTGCGGACAATATTTTTTTATGCAAAACTCGCATGTCTACAGCAACTAGGTGGATTTTTTTAAAGAATAATTAGTCAACATCACTGTGACAATTCCTGAAATCTCAACTTTCAGAAATAATATATAGGATGCTTGAGAAAACCGGTCAAGTTTCATTCATTTTCAATCTGACATAATTCAACTTTTTCAAATGGAACACCCTGTATTTTTTCATTTGTATGAAATGTTTCAACATTTCACATTTTTTATCGGAAGCATACTATACAGAAAAAAATATATTTTACAAATCATTTAAATAATTGTTGTAACCACAAAAAATTTGTTCACGTTCACTAACTCAATTTTTTTTCAATATGAACAATAACTCCTGAATTTTTCATTGAATGGAGGAGTCCAAAATATGTTCAAAACGGCGACCATTCTCTGCAACACCTAATGTCAGTCTTTTTTTAAACGAATTCTCTACACGTTCCAGCATAGCATATTCTCTGGGATTTCCCTGAAAGCTCCAGTGATTTTTCGTTTCATGTCTTCTATAGATTTTAGAGGAGTTTGATAAACAATTCATTTGATATACCCCCATAAAAAATCCATTCTGGACAGATCAGGTGATCTGGGTAGCCACGACACAGGCCTACTCCTATAACTATCCATTTTTTATTGAAATGATCGATTCCAAAGAAATCTCACATATTTTTTCCAGTGAGATACTCATACAAAAAATACGGACCGATGACGTTTTTGTCCGAGAATTCCACCCCAAATATTCATTGACTAACTCTGTTGATGGCTCAGGCCACGAACAAAATGGGGGTTTTCTGTTGCACAATAATGCATGTTATGCCGATTCATAGCTCCATTTTCATGAGAAGTCGCTTCATGAGAAAATAACACGAAATCGAATAAATAATTTTCCTGATCGATCTTTTCTAAGCCCCATTGGCAAAATTGAACACGTTTTTCAAAATCTCGTCTTCTAAACAATTTCATGTTATAAGGATGAAATTTGCTTGCTCGTATCATTCGAGATACACTGGTTTGAGAAAATCCTTATTTCCTGTTCAGGTCTCGGGTACTCATATGGAGATTTTCAACAAGGTGAAGAGCAATTTGAAATGTATTCTCTTCATTTGTTTCAGGGCAGACAAGTACGAACTTGTGATTGACATTATAAGTTTTTTTAAATCTTGTTTTTAGAGCCTGAAATGCCCTTCCATCTGGTTGTCTTCTTTCGGGAAACTTTTTTTCTCCTAGATGCAAGGAGGCAGTTTCTGTCACTTTCCCTCAATGCATAGACCTTTTGCACCATATTTTCCAATACATAATTCATAATGAAAATGATTCAATCTACACGCGAAAGAAACTTCAACACATGGCGTTATTGACAAATCCCGAGATTCATTTTTTGATGTCCGTCATCGATAAGTGGGATTTTAAAGAAAACAGCAGTATAAATATTCTTTGGGTTTTTCACGCATTTCTTATCGTTGACTCCGCTGATAACTATCACTAGTTGGTATGAAAAATGCTAATGTACTAGCAATTCGTTTGAATATCCAAAAAACAAATTTGAGAAAGTGAACGTAAGAAAATATACACACATCGGAAAAGTCTAGGGATATTTTCAAAAATAAAATCCTCACTTGTTTACTTTGTGGTAAATGTTCAAGAAGTACCAAAAACTTATGTGAATTTCTGGAACTTCATCTAGCTTTTCCTAATACGACTAATTACCAGTCCGTGCAAAGCTTATTGTTAAATCATCTGAAAATGGAATTTTTAACAGGTGATGATCAACTGTATTGTCAAACATGCGCCAAACTAACTGACTGTTATAAGGAAACAAGTATAGCTGAGGCACCAGTCAATCTAATAATAACACTGATGATTTTCAAACAAGACTCAACCTCTAACGGAAGCAAGAAACTCTTTGGAAGGTTCGAAATAGATGAACATTTCAACCTA